CACGCACACACATACACACCCACGCACACCGTTATACCGCAAAACTTCTTGACTTTTGCTACAAAAAAAATACACGAAAATGATTGCTTACATTTTCAGTGGCCGATAACTGTTCGGCACGATTGGTGGCACCGGGTGGTGTACCAGAGACAGCACCAGCACCGGAGAGAGACATCGAGACAGGACGCATCCTGAAAATACAACAGAGATAGCGGAGAGTCAGCAAACGGCACGACGACGAAGAAAATATTCGGCTCAGTTTGGCCATGCAAAATGCACTCGCTTTTGAAGAAAAATACATTTCCCTTAGGGGAAAAATACCTTCCACCTCAGGCAAAAATGCCCTTGACGTCGGGGAAAAATACCCTCGACCTTGGGGAAAAATGCCCTCGACCTTGGGGAAAAATGCCCTCGACCCCGAGAAAACATACCCTCGACCTTGGGGAAAAATGCCCTCCACTCCGGGTAAAAATACCCTCGACCTCGGGCAAAAATGCCCTCAACTTCAGGGGAAAATGCCCTCGATTTCGGGGAAAATGCACTCGCTTGTGGGTTTGGTGCAAAGTTGCGAAAATCATCGATACACATGTGCTGGATTTTCTATTTCAGTGACATTTTGCAGCATAAGCACATGCTTACCGGTTTTCACTCAGCATCAGATCTCTTGCTTAGCATCATAAACCTGTACAGACAAGATTCGAAACTCTATTTAGGTATACGATTTCCTAGATGGATGTCAAATATTCTGACAAAATTTCAGTCACTGTTTTTACCGGCCAAATTTTGCGAATTAGCACAGTGCCAACTGCGAACTTTGACGTGAGCCATAAAGACAAGTTGTGCGCTTTGTGCGTTTTCTCTTAAAATACGTCTGCGCTTATTCCTCTTACAAAGGGAACTTTATAAATACCTACATATCGATGATCACCTGGTCCTTATCTCTGTCTCCAAATCCCTATACAGAGGCAAGATCTCAGCTCCTTTCCAGTGAATATCTCAGTTCTTTTCTCTCTGTTATGTCCTCCTGTGGCCTAAATCTCTAACTTATTTCGCAGACTGAGGAGGCGTGCCGTACCTTACCAAGATGGTCTCAACCTGGCCGAGCTGGGGCCGAGTTTTTGCAAGAAATTTTTCACAAAATTCGAGAGGGG